CCCTCAAGCTGTTACTTGTCACATTGTGATCGTTGTACAATTGAGGTCAAAACATTTAACAACAGCAATGCAAATCTCCTGAGGGGAATGGGGTGAGAAGCTAATGGAGCTACGGCAAGTCACCCTAACTGAGAATGTGCTGCGGAGCCTTCACTGTAGATTGGATTTGAAATCACCTCTGCAAATAATACCTCAGAATTAATTATGAAAGAAAGCACAGCTCACAAAGGGTGTTGCACAGTTCACAAAGGCTATGTTTACACTGCAGGCTTCTTGCACAAGAACTGTTTTGCGGAAGAGTTCTTGTGCAAAAAATCTTCCACAAGAGTGTGTCCACACTGCCATATACTTTTGCGCAAGAGATGTGCTTTTGCGCAAGAGCATCCATGGCAGTGTGGATGCTCTCTTCCTAAGAAACCTCTGATGGCCATTTGAACCATAGGGGGCTTCTTGCGCAAGAAATTCATGTTGCCTGTCTACACTGCCCTCTTGTGGAAGAGTTCTTGTGCAAGAGGGCTTATTCCTCATGGGGAGAAGAGTAACTTCCAGAAGAAGCCCTGTTTTCCAATGCTATACTATAAATGTACTTGCGCAAGAACATGCGTGCAGTGTAGACGGCCGGCAAGTTTTTGTGTAAGAACGGCTGTTCTTGCACAAGAGCGTACAATGTAGACACAGCCAAAAGGGTGCTGCACAGCTCACAAAGGATGTTGCTCTCATCCTATATCAGGCACAGATGAGGGGCTCAACAAGACCATGAATCTTCAGAGTTCATGGTTTTGAAGGGTGGAGTCACTCAGGAGACAAAGAACTTCTTTGGGGTGGTCCGCTCAAATGGGGAAGAATAGGAGGAAACAGGTCACACGAAAATGTAGTCTGGAGAAGAGGAAATGTCCATTAGAAGCAATGTCCATTAGAAGTCTCCTGCCATGGCAATAGGTTATGCAACCCTTATACATGCTGGTGAGCATTTACGCACACAGGCAAAGCCAAGGGATTGTGCGATCCAGCCCCAAGCAATTGGTGGAAGCCCACTGCTTGAGTTATTGAAAACAGGCTTGCCCCTAGCATCAGGGAATGTGCATTCACAAAGGCTGGGGAAATGGGAAAGATGGACTAATGGGCCTTTTCTATCTCCAGATCCTGTGACTCGGTGGCAGGTGTATGAGAGGCATAGGTCTGACTGCTGAAGCACGCAATGTGATTAGTCTCAGAGGGGTAGCCAAGTTAGTCTGTATCTTCCAAATCAATGAGGAGTCCTATGAAACCTAACAGACTAACAGATTGATTTGGGCATAAGCTTTAGTGGGTAAAGCCCACTTCATCAGATACATTGGAGTGGAAGTTACAGAAGCAGGGAGATATATATATATATAAGTACCAATATATCAAAATAAGGGAGTTACTTATCAAGTCAAACTAACTGGACCTCATTAACACTGGTGCTACACTTGAATGATAGCTCCCTTCTTTTGATCTACTAGTACACACACACACGCGCGCACACCCACATATATCCCTGTCTCTGGAATTTCCACTCCAGGCATCCCACAAAGTGGGCTTTACCCAGGAAAGCTCATCAGTGAATCTGTTAGTCTTTATGGTGCCACTGGACTCCTCGTTGTTTTAGCAATGTGATTGCGATTGTTCTGTGATTGCAGGCATAGGCGACTGGGGCTATCAGGGGAGCGGATGCAAGGTGTGCTACCTAGAGGAACATAAGGAAGGCACCCCGTTGAGCAGCTGAAATTTTGGTGGACAGCGCACCTCCTGGGTGCTACCACGAGTTGCCTGTGATGACAGGATATGGGATATAGAGCACTATGGATGTGAATATCCTCCAGCATTCTTCCCCCAGCTCTCTGCAATCCAAACTCCTTTCTGAGATGGGCAGAGGCCCCATCAGGCTCTGACAGGCACATCTGTAGCATAAGATCAATCTAAATTAGGGATGTAAAATTCCATTTAATCGTTAACCGGTTAAATGTTATGTTTAACTTGTTACCACTTAAACAGGGGGAGGCTGCTCCAGCCTGCTGGTTAACTAGTTGACCATTCACATCCCTAATCTGAATGGCTGACGACTAGAACAGCAAGGGAAGTCTGTGTATCCGTTGTGCCGGGTATGGAGTACAATGGAGAGGAGCTTTGGGCAGCGGCTGTGTCTGTTTTGAGAGATCCTGGCCCAGTATTTTCCCTCCGTGTCCCACAATGGAAGAGCTCATGGGATTTATCACAGCTGTAATCACGGAAAAACCAGAGGCCAAGGAGATAAAGTCCCAGCAGCAGAAAGACATCTTAGGAAGGAGTGTCGAAAGCGATCACACACCCTCTTACTGAAACACGGAGATTGGTTGTTTTCTAAACACCGTCAGAGCAAATGGGCCAAGCAAATAGCTGCAACTCTTGACTTCAGTGGATCGATGTTTAGTTACCCCAGCAGTGAATTTGTCTCTTTGTCTGTAACTGGCGACATGACTGCCCTTCCTTCCGGTGCAGCCCCGCAACAAAACAAGCTTAGATCATAACGCAGTTGATCTGCAAAGCAGAGAGCTCCCCCTTCATGTGTGCAATAGGGCTGAAAGGTTCAACCGAGCTGTATAATATTAATAAATTCGCTTGCATGCAGTGCTGGTGCTAAGCCCATTGGGGCTCTAAGCAGCACTACTTGAAGGGGGAGGCCCACATGCACAACACAGGCTAGTAATTAATATGGGGTCCCCTGAGCTGCTTGGAGCCCTAAGCAATTGTTAGTCTGCTTGTGCCTAGCGCCGGCTCTGCTTCCATAGGATCTTTATCCAGAAGATCTCAAAGCACCTTTACAAACCTTAATTAGTGAAGCCACACGCCACACTGGAGAGGGTTAGCGGATTGCACTGAGGTTTGGAGAGATCACGAGATTTCCCTGGATCCACATTTTGAGTCAGTAGCAAAGTTGGGATTGGAACCCAGAAGTCCTGACTGCAGTCCTCAGCTCTAACCACTAGTGAGCATTGCTTGGCATCGCATGGTTTTGAAGTTGGCGTTCCACTTGCTCTCCACTGTGGCTATAAATATCGAAACTATTCCCACTGAAAGATGAATGCAGAGTCTTCCATCCAACGGCACTAACATCTCTGTGGGATTCGCTGTCCTTTTTCATCTGTTCGACCATCTGTTGTGGCTGGTGCCATAGGCGTGGTAGGGGAGGGGGCAAGTTGGGGGCGGGGAGTTAAGCCAGCGATTCTCCCTGCTCCCAAGCTGCTGCTCTCTCTGTTTCTCTTCCTGTTCAGTGAGTAAGCGCCGTAGTTCCTCTTGGTCATTGAATGGATTCTTGCCATACTCTTGCCGAACCCAGGATCGGTACTGCCAAAACAAAACCAAAATGAGTTGTGAAGGCAACAGAGAAGGTACAAAATGCCTCTACTTGTCGGTAGCCCTACACCAGACTCTGCAGATAAAGATCCAGATTAGGGATGTTTAAACGGCTAGCGCTTGACCTGTTCATTGTTTGAACTTGAGATCTGCAGCCCCGTCTCGCAGCTGAGATTGTGGGGTCCTACCAAGGCTGTGAGGTCCCGCCACGGCTGGGGGGTGGCCAC